GAATAGATGTTTGAGTAGGATGAATCATGAAGTGGTAAAACGAGAGTCGAAGGAACTAATGTCAAAGTTTGTGAAGCTGATGAAAAAGGAAAAACATCTTCACATAATTTAACATTACGGTGGATAAATAATTTGTGAGCTTGCATGTCATACAACTTGTAGCCTTTGTAACCACAAGTATATCCTACGAAAAAACAAAGGAATTGCCCGAGGTTCAAATTTTTGCTTTGGATGTACTACAATTGCATAACATTTACATTAAAAAACTTTAAGAAGATGAAATGTAGGTGGTTGTTTGTAGAGTGCTTCAAGGGGTGTCTTGTTAGATAAAAATGGTGATGGTGTTCTATTTATAAGATTAACAACAATTAAAATGCACTCTCCCAAAAAATTAAGTGGAACGTGTGACTGAAAGAGGAGAGACCTAGCTACATTTAGGATATGACGATAGCTACATTTAGGATATGACGATGCTTACGCTCTACGACTCATCTTTGTTGTGGAGTATAGACACAAGTGCGCTGAAATTCAATGCCACACAAAGTAAAAAATGGTTGTAAAGACAGAAACTCAGTCCCATTGTCTGACCGTACTATCTTGATAGTAGTATGAAATTGAGTTTGAACGAATTTAACAAAGTTCATAAACAAATGATGTACTTCTGATTCATGTTGCATAAGAAAAACCCAAGTACATTGAGTAAAATCATCAACAATAGTGAGAAGAAAACGCAAACATAAATGGATAGAAATTTTATGAGATCCCCAAACATCACAATGTAACATGTCAAAGGTAGAATGTGTTGTTATTGAACTTCTTGAAAAAAAAACAACCTAGTTTGTTTTGCTAATGTGCAAATACTACAGTTATGAGAAAAAGTAGCATTANTTTATTTTGCTAATGTGCAAATACTACAGTTATGAGAAAAAGTAGCATTATTAAGATGAAATTGATCCGTTAGAAATTTAAAACAGGAAAAAATAAATAGAATGACCTAGGCGTAAATGCCACAAATTAGATGATTGAGATACTTGATTAGTTAAATATTTGATTGGAGATTAAGAAATATGATAGAGCCCTCCAAATTGTTTACTCGAGCCAATCATCTTCCCCTTAGCCAAGTCCTGCATAACACAAGAATCAGGATAGAAGGTGACACAACATTTCAAGTCATTGGTAAGTTTGCTCATGGACAACATGTTTAAATTGAATGAAGACACACATAAAATATTGTTTAATTTAAGGCCAGAATTAAAGAAAACATTGACCGTAATTGACACATGTGTTGTTCCTTCGTTAGGCAATTTTATTGCAAATGTTTGCAGCCTTTGGTTCAGTCATAACAAAAGCTTTGGATACTATATGATTCGAAGCTCCACTGTCGAGAATCCATGAATTAGAACTAACAGATTTAATGGATAATGTAGATACTAGAAATAATCCATGAATTAGATTTGTCACGACCCAATTTTTGAGATTTCGAGAAATGGAACTGCAGCGAAAAGATAAATTTTGAAAAGACAAACAGCACCTGTTCAAAGAGAATACAACTAATTGATGTCCCACGTGAAATACAAGTAACAAACATTCCGGGTCGACACCCCTCTACTAGTGTCTCTTCAAGACTACTATTCATAAAACCATAAAGTCATTTTGAATAAGTGGTCAAGGTGTGTGCTTGCTAATCACACCATGTTTCCCTCCAAGATTTGACGAAAAGAATTCAAAATCGAACCCAAAAAATTATACAACTAATTCATGGCCCAGGTCGAATACAACTATAACACTCTGGGTCGACACCCCTCTATGATAGTAGAGCTCCAGAGCATCTCCCCACCTTGACCAGTACACTAGAAAAGGAGAAACGTGTAAGTATAAAAATTTACTTAGGAACCAACCTACTTGTAGGCCCTCATCGCTTCCTTCTAGTACTAGGTTTCCACGACTTTCCTTTGGTCTATAGGACGTTGGGCTTACCCTTTACTGCGCTCTAAGCTACCGTGTATGTCCCGAAGTTCTAATTGATTCCTCATTAATCATCTACCTTTGTTGTCCCTAGTGCCTCTTCGATATTCGTTCCTAAAACAAAAAAGTTGCTTTGGGCGAGTGGTTAAGGCGTGTGCCTGCTAAGTACATGGGATTTTCCTTCGAGAGTTCGAACTTCTCAGGCGATGAAAAGATAAATATTTTACACTTTAATCAACACTCCGAGTCGAAACCCCTTTGTGGTAGTAGAGCTCCCGAGCAGCTCCCCACCTTGATCAGTACACTAGAAAAAATCATCGCTTCCTTCTTCTACTAAGTTTCCATCTCCCCACCTTGACTAGTACACTAGAAAAGGAGAAAGGTGTAAGTATACAAATATACTTAGTAACCAACCTACTTGTAGGCTCTTTGTATGTCCCGAAGTTCTAATTGATTCCTCATTAATTATCTACCATTGTTGTCCCTAGTGCCTCTTCGAGATTTGTTCTTAAAACAAAAAGTCGCTTTGGTCGAGTGGTTAAGGTGTGTGCCTGCTAAGTACATGGGGTTTCCCCGCGAGAGTTTGAATCTATCAGGCGACTAACTGAACTAGAAAAGGAGAAAGGTGTAAATATAGAAATATACTTAGTAACCAACCTACTTGTAGGCTCGCATAGCTTCCTTCTACTACCAGATTTCCACGACTTTCCTTTCGTCTACAGGAAGTTTGGGTATACCCTTTACTGTGCTCTAAGCTACCGTGTAGGTCTCGAAGTTCTAACTGATTCCTCATTAATCATCTACCTTTGTTGTCCCTAGTGCCTCTTCGATATTCGTTCCTAAAACAAAAAAGTTGCTTTGGGCGAGTGGTTAAGGCGTGTGCCTGCTAAGTACATGAGGTTTCCCTGCGAGAGTTCGAACTTCTCAGGCGATGAAAAGATGAATATTTTACACTTTAATCAACACTTCGAGTCGAAACCCCTTTGTGGTAGTAGAGCTCCCGAGCAGCTCCCCACCTTGATCAGTACACTAGAAAAAATCATCGCTTCCTTCTTCTACTAAGTTTCCATCTCCCCACCTTGACTAGTACACTAGAAAAGGAGAAACGTGTAAGTATAAAAATTTACTTAGGAACCAACCTACTTGTAGGCCCTCATCGCTTCCTTCTAGTACTAGGTTTCCACGACTTTCCTTTCGTCTACAGGAAGTTTGGGTATACCCTTTACTGTGCTCTAAGCTACCGTGTAGGTCTCGAAGTTCTAACTGATTCCTCATTAATCATCTACCTTTGTTGTCCCTAGTATTACCCTTTACTGTGCTCTAAGCTACCGTGTAGGTCTCGAAGTTCTAACTGATTCCTCATTAATCATCTACCTTTGTTGTCCCTAGTATCTCTTCGAGATTCAATCCTAAAATAAAAAAGTTGCTTTAAACGAGTGGTTAAGGCGTGTGCCTACTAAGTACATGGGGTTTCCTCGCGAGAGTTTGAATCTCCTACTTGTATAGTATAGAAATATACTTAGTAACCAACCTACTTGTAGGCCCGCTTCCTTCTACTACCAAAAGGAGAAAGGTGTAAGTATAGAAATATACTTAGTAACCAACCTACTTGTATAGTATAGAAATATACTTAGTAACCAACCTACTTGTATAGTATAGAAATATACTTAGTAACCAACCTACTTGGATAGTATAGAAATATACTTAGTAACCAACCTACTTGTATAATATAGAAATATACTTAGTAACCAACCTACTTGGATAGTATAGAAATATACTTAGTAACCAACCTACTTGTAAGCCCGCATAGCTTCCTTCTACTACCAGATTTCCACGACTTTCCTTTCGTCTACAGGAAGTTTGGGTATACCCTTTACTGTGCTCTAAGCTACCGTGTAGGTCTCGAAGTTCTAACAGATTCCTCATTACTACCGTGTAGGTCTCGAAGTTCTAACTGATTCCTCATTAATCATCTACCTTTGTTGTCCCTAGTATCTCTTCGAGATTCAATCCTAAAATAAAAAAGTTGCTTTAAACGAGTGGTTAAGGCGTGTGCCTACTAAGTACATGGGGTTTCCTCGCGAGAGTTTGAATCTCCTAGACGACGAAAAGTTCATTTTTTTGTACTAGCAAAGCGACTCGTTTATAAGGAATACTTTTTTATAAGATATTGTCCACTTTGTCCCGTTACCTCACGATCTCATAGAGGTATTCACACCCTAGTTATAAGGAATGCTTCCTTCCCCTCTCAAACCAATGTTGGATCTCGGGAAATCGAACTGCGATGAAAAGATAAATTTAAAACGACGTACAACACCTGTGTTATAAAAGGCGTGTGCCTACTAAGTACATGGGGTTTCCTCGCGAGAGTTTGAATCTCCTAGACGACGAAAAGTTCATTTTTTTTGTACTAGCAAAGCGACTTGTTTATAAGGAATACTTTTTTATAAGATATTATCCACTTTGTCCCGTTACCTCACGATCTCATAGAGGTATTCACACCCTAGTTATAAGGAATGCTTCCTTCCCCTCTCAAACCAATGTTGGATCTCGAGAAATCGAACTGCGATGAAAAGATAAATTTAAAATGACGTACAACACCTGTGTTAGAAATTTCAAGATATTTACAAACGAAAAAAATTATACAACTAATTGATTTCTGATATGAATCCAACAACGGATCACTTCAGTGTACCCGAACGATCAATTGCAAGAAGCAATACAAAGAAGATTCAAGAATCAAATCAAGAAAATATTGGAGTGACTGATATCGGAAAGTAATTCGAAGACTTGGCTTTGGTAGTTGAACTACCAATTAAGACAATTTATGAATTACCTTATTTTCTTCGATTTGTATTTAATAGCATTTATTAGCATTTATTAGTTGTTGGTGGCTGAAATTTATTTTGTTAGGGTTATGTTTTGGGCCTATTTAGAGGCAAGTAATATTCATGTTTGGATGTTTTTTTGGTTGAATACAGACAAAACCTTTGTGTTTTTCTTGATACCCTTTTTGGTGTTATTCTTTTTCAAACCTTGCTTTAGGTTTGATGTTTAAACCGATTCATCGAATTAGTTTTGATCAAGCTAATTCTGGAGTGAATTATCTTGGTATCTAAAAGTGACCATCATAGATTCCAAGTTCGATCTAAGATTCATTCATCTTCTAACCAGCTCTTGGTTGGAATCAATCCGTTAAGTTAGCTTTCTCTGTGAACGTTTTGGCAGGAATTCTAGAAGGACCTCTAGTTTTGCAAATCCAGCATTGTTGGCGCTTATCATTTGGTATCAGACCATTTGGTCGATGTTCTTTGGCCGTACTAGAGGTGAAATATCTTTATTGTTATATTTTTTTTCTATCAATTTTTTCTCTCTCTCAGATTATCGAAAAAAAAAAAACCAACGTCTCCATTCTTGACCTAGTACCAAAATCCTACCTTTGAGTGTTAAACACGAGTGTCCCTGAGTGAAATTTTTGTGAGAAGTGTGGAGAGGCCCCTTGATAACAAAATGTCACATAATGGAGAAGGAGAACCCGTACCAGATCTTAATACAATCATTCTTCAAGCTATTCAAGATATGATGGAAATGATGATGGAAAGATAGGCAAGAAAGAAGGGCGCAACATCAAAGACAAGAACGAACATTACGAAAAGATGAAAGTATAGTAGTACAAGAAAGACAAGTTGAAGGAAGATGGAGAGGAAGAAATAACCATGCAACTATTATGCAACCTAGAAGAATGGAAAGAGTACATGAAGATAGAGATGGAGAAGTTAAACTCAAAATCTCACCATTTTGTGGAACGGCAGATTCTCATGAATACTTGCAATGGGAAAGAAAGATAGAGCATTTGTTTGATTGCAACACCTATAGTGAAAATAAGAAGACGAGACTTGCTATTGCCGAATTTACCAATCATGTCGGTGATTGGTACCAACATCTCAAAT